CCAGATTTAGCAATATTGGCAAAATGTCATTAAGTGTTCGAGAAGTGTTCATAATTTTAATCTGTACTACGTTAACGTCAGTGTGTCGTGTTGGCAACGTGAACATTTTCTCATATAAAACTCTATCTTCGTGTCCGAGCAGCACGGACACTTCATCATGATTGTTAGGAGACATGAAATACATGGTATATAAATCCGTGTTTTGTAAACTTTGTCCCAAATGTAAATCACATATAATCATCAGTTCATATCTCAGTCGTTCTGTGTTGTGCTTTTGAGTCGAGGTTCGATGAAGATGATCCTTGTTTTACTAAAGCCTGATCCTCAGCTGGTGTAAGAACGGGTTTAATAATAAAAATAACGGTCATATTATCGTCTTGTAAACGTTCCTGTGTCAATAATCACAGTTTCAGGTTTTTGTACAGTGTTTAGACATTATTGCTTATTCTCTCGTCACGCTGTGAAATATTAAATATTAAACTCCCTGATTTCTGCAGCTGGTGAAACACAGACACGTTGGGAACTAAAGGAAGACATCATATATATTATAAAGATTAATAATCAGTGCTGTAGGAAAGATTGTGCTCTTCAGTGCTTTTGTCATTTAAAAAAATCTCCTTCGTATAAACGTTGACATCTCAGCTTTGAAAAAAGTCTTAAAACCACAAAATGTCTTTTTTTATTTCCTGAACCTGAATATCTGTGAGGAAGACTTTGTGTCTGAGATCACAGACGGGGAGCGCCTCATTAAACATTTAGTCAATTAAGAGAGACTCAAAGAGGGGAAATCAGGGGGGGTTAGTGCAGAGAGGAGACCCCCGGAGGACCTGAATTCTGCTCCTGAATCACAGGAAGAGGCCATCGTCCAATCAGCTGTTAGACGCAGGATTGTGAGGACAAACACTCTGTTCTCACTTCACGTCTTCATGTCGTCGTGGAGATATCCAAAGTCCTGTTTTTTTTAACGATCAGATGTGAAATGAAAACAGACGGTGTGATCCTGATGGCGGGGATTTGTTGTTTTCATGATGGTTTGTCTTTGCTTAACAGCCAATCAGAGAGCTTTATTTGTTCTGAGGTCGGTACAACCCGTAGAAACAACATTGGCGCTTATCGGCGTCTCTCACAGCTGATCAAGGGTCTTTGAGTATGTTTGTCTATGTTGATGTTACACATGGAGCTGCTGTGATGCAAGTCACATTTCAGACTTGATCTGACCATTAAAGTATTATTGGATCGGATCGGAGCATCAGCTCGGGGTGTCGGAGGAAAACCCTGAGGAGTACAATTTAGAAAATCCTCAAAGAGTTTTTATTGAGACACTGCTACACTAAGATCCAGAGAAGGAGTATCTGAGGAGGGGTCTCATGGTGTCTCAGACCCTTCGTCCTCGGGAGAGGTGGGTGATGCCGGTGTCTCCTCCTCTTCCTCCTTCTTCCTCTCCATCTTCTCGTAGGTTTTCCTGCGCTGGCGCCTCAGCGTCTGGCTCTGCAGCTCCTTCACCTCCTGCAGGATCTGCTGCGCCTCCTGCCACGACGACACGGCTTCCTCCAGCAGACGCTCCGCCTCGTCGCGCCTCCTCCCCACCTCCACGTCCTCCTCTGGAGGGGAGGAGGGGGAGGAGAGGAGGCGAGACCCCTCCCGGCTCCCCCGCCGAGGGGAGGCGCCCCCCTGGGGAGAATCTGACCCTTTAACCTGGGGGGAGTCGGGAGGGGAATCAGAATCAGGAGGGTCGTCCTCCTTGTTGGAGCTCGAAGACAGTTTGAGTCGCGCTGCCTCGGAGACGGTGAGGCGTTTGGGGGAGTCGCTGGGTTTGGGGGAGTCGCTGGGTTTGGGGGAGTTGCTGGGTTTGGGGGAGTCGCTGGGTTTGGGGGAGTCGCTGGGTTTGGGGGAGTCGCTGGGTTTGGGGGAGTCGCTGGATCCTCTGGAGCGAGGCGAGTCCGTCCCTTTAGATCGGTTCTTCTTGGCTTTGGACCGAGGAGACTCCCTCCCCCTCAGACGGGGAGAATCTCTCCCCCGGAGACGAGGGGAGTCGCTACTCCTGCTGCGAGGAGAACCAGACGATTTACTGAGGAGAGAAAAAGAAACGGGTTTAACGTCTACATCATAACATCAGGGAGGAGGAACCAGATCTGAGGTTAATACAAGACCTACCACATCAAATACGTCAGTAAATACCCCACTGGTGGATTTGGAAACAGAGGTTGCTCTCTCTCCACTCCTCACTGCAACAATCAACTCCTCCCTGTCTTCTGGCATCGTCCCACCATCCCTCAAAATAGCTGCTATCACCCCTATTCTGAAAAAACCCGGACTCAAACATGACAACCCTAATAACTTCAGACCAATCTCGAACCTACCCTTTCTGTCCAAATCTCTGGAACGCACTGAAGCATCACAACTCAAGCATCATCTCTCTGCCAATAACCTCTAAGAAACTTTTCAATCCGGATCCTGCTCAAACCACAGTACTCCTCAAAATCAGCAATGACCTTCTCCTCTCCCCCGACGCTGGTAACCTCAATTACTGGGCGGACGGCCCGGGGGCAACGAAGAGGCCTAGAAGGGGGAGAGATCGTGGCGGGAAAACTATGGAGCAGGAGACAGGGGCGAAGGTGATGGCGGGATAGCTCCGGAGTCAGCTGGACCGTCGGAGCAGGAGCACCGGGAGGTGGCAGGTCCCCCAACAGAACAAGACATTATGTTGGCGGGACCACCAACGGAACAAGACGTGGTGTTGGCGGGACCACCAATGGAACAAGACGTGGAGTTGGCGGGACCACCAATGGAACAAGACGTGGAGTTGGCGGGACCACCAATGGAACAAGACGTGGTGTTGGCGGGACCACCAATGGAACAAGACGTGGTGTTGGCGGGACCACCAACGGAACAAGACGTGGAGTTGGCGGGACCACCAACGGAACAAGACGTGGTGTTGGCGGGACCACCAACGGAACAAGACGTGGAGTTTGCGGGACCACCAATGGAACAAGACGTGGAGTTGGCGGGACCACCAATGGAACAAGACGTGGTGTTGGCGGGACCACCAACGGAACAAGACGTGGAGTTGGCGGGACCACCAATGGAACAAGACATTGTGTTGGCGGGACCACCAATGGAACAAGACGTGGAGTTGGCGGGACCACCAATGGAACAAGACATTGTGTTGGCGGGACCACCAACGGAACAAGACGTGGTGTTTGCGGGACCACCAACGGAACAAGACGTGGTGTTGGCGGGACGACCAATGGAACAAGACGTGGAGTTGGCGGGACCACCAATGGAACAAGACATTGTGTTGGCGGGACCACCTACGGAACAAGACGTGGTGTTGGCGGACCACCAACAGAACAAGACTCCCAACGGTGTCATACAAAAAGTATTTTGCCCACTCAGGTTACGTGAAGTCATGTGACCGCGCTTCATTGTGCGTCTGTATATGATAAATATGATAACTCACTCACCTAGAGTGGGGGGAGTCTGATCCTCGCAGGTGATGCAGGCGGGGGGAGTCGATGCCCTTCAGGTAGGGGGAGCTGCCCCCCCGCTCTCGCTCCGCCTTGGCTTTCTGCAGCTCCTGTCAATCACAGCATCACATGTCATTATCTCCTCTTCCTGCATCAAGGCCATAAGACTGCTAAACACCTGAGCTCTGTGAAGTGCCTCAATAAACATTCATCTGTTTGTCATCTTGCAATCTACTTATTTATATAAATACTTATCACCTCAATAAACCGTATTTAATTTAGTCTTAATGTACATTATTTAATTTCATATTCTGTTTACATGTATATAGACTTCTTGCACTACTTTTTTTAATTTGTATTTTATTATATATGTATGATAGTTGGAGGAGCTCAGGTCAGAAGAATGTCATTGCCATTTCTACTCTGTAGCTTTTGAGCATCTGATGATCAAACCTTTGAATCTTGAATTTGAATATAGAGTTACCTCCAGCCTCATCTCCTCCAGCAGCTCCTGCGCTCGCTGCATCCTCTGAGCGATGAGGCTCTGCAGCTGGCCCACCCCCGAGCCCCCCGACCCCCCCGTCGACCCCTCCGTCGACCCCTCCTCTGTCGGGCAGCGCCGGAGAGCCGAGCGAAACTCAGAGCGAATCATCGCCGGTCTGAAGGGAAGCAGAGGGAGGGAAGTTAGAGAGGAAGGAAAACGCTCCCCTCACCGCCCTTTCTTTTAGCGGACCATCATGAGCTTTAAAGTTCTCCTATTATACTATTTTTAGGCCAATATTATAGCTGTTAGATATTTACAGATATATAAAAAACATGTCTCTGAAGTGTTTTGCTCAAAATACCAAACAGATCACTCGAGCCTCATCCCCCTCTATTCCAGCTGTTACTAAAGAGCTGACTCTGGGTCTGTAGCTTTAAAAAAACATAATCAAGGATTCTCTCTGAAACTCCATATCATGTTCCAAACCACATCAAGGATTCTCTCTGAAACAGTATGGAGCTCAAACTCTTTCTCTCTCTCAGGTTTACCACAAGGTGACTTCCTTTTGATTTCCTGCTTCTTCACACATGCTCTCTCCAGTACAGGTTAGCTCTGAGTGTTAGCATGCTAATGTAAACACAGACCATATTACTTCCAGAACACGTCTCATTGTTTCTGACAGCAACGTTTCTGATTGGCCCGTGGGTGTAAAGCCCGCCCACATTTTAGTAATGTGGTCATGACGCAGCAAATCTGGATCAGCTCTCTGAGACTACTCTCTGTTCTCTGTTCTCTGTTCCTGGTGGACTTCAGGAGTTAGTGTACCTGGAGGACAGGACTTCATCCATGGAGGCGCAGCGCCCTCGGCCCTGCATGCTGAACCTCTTCCCGGGCTGAGGCGTCCGACTCTGGGCCTGAAGGACCTGAAACACAGGGCTGAGGTTCAGTGGTCGGTGGGTTTAGATTTAAACAAACAACAAAAGACTGAGGTCTTTCGGGGTGCAGGGGGCACTCCTTCAGACATGTATGACTCTGTTGTGGCATCAGCCATTTTCTATGGTGTGGCCTTGTTGTTAAATACCAACTATGTGCAATACGTGCAAAATGTGCAATATCTGCAATATATATATATGCCATTAATAACTGTGTAATTTACACCTGGCTGCTAAATCTTCAGAACTGTTACAGGATGTGTATTTTGTCCATTTTTAAAATGTTCTTTATCTTTAATATTTGTTTCCAGACCTGCTGGTTCTTGAGGGTCTTTGAAGGCTCGGGGTGGGGGTGTTTCCCCCAGGAGAGCTCGCTCCCTCTGGGCAGGCTGCTGGTCTTCACTTTGGGCTCCTTGGAGACTCTCAGCTTCGAGACGTCTGTTCCCGCTCGCTGCCGGACACCGAGCCCCGAGAACCCCTCAGCTGCCACCTGACCACAGGAGCCCCCCCGAGGCAGGTCGGCCTCCCAGGACCCCCGAGAGTCAGCGTCGTACGAGAAACCGTCCTCCTCTGCTACCAGATCCAGGGTCAGCATCCCGTGGGAGGAGGTGGACGCCTGAGAGAGAGACGGTACACACATCCTTTACTCAAGTAGAAGTACAGATAGTCGTGTTTAAAAATACTCTGGTGAAAGTAGAAGTACTGATTAAACTTCTTTACTCAAGTAAAAGTAAAGAGGGCTTTCAAATGTACATAAGTAAAAAGTACCCATAACTAGCAGCTGTTTTAAAGAGTACCTGACCTCCCTTTATATTAATAGAACAATAATGTCATTGTTAGCTAATGAATGTTTCCATGCTGAACAACGGCAACATGACAACGTTTTCATTGGTCCCTCTTCTTTAGAGAAGACCAGGAAATGATGGATACACGGATCGTGTTCAAATCAATAGGCACGCAATGACTCTAAATAATAATGATCACGCCACCAAACACACATTCAAACTAAAGGAACCAGCCTGTTTGGGAAATGTAAGAAGTAGAAAGTACAGGTATTTGTGTTCAACATGTAAGAAGTAGAAAGTACAGGTATTTGTGTTCAAAATGTAAGAAGTAGAAAGTACAGGTATTTGGGTTCAAAATGTAAGAAGTAGAAAGTACAGGTATTTGGGTTCAACATGTAAGAAGTAGAAAGTACAGGTATTTGTGTTCAACATGTAAGAAGTAGAAAGTACAGGTATTTGTGTTCAACATGTAAGAAGTAGAAAGTACAGGTATTTGTGTTCAAAATGTAAGAAGTCAAAGTAAAAAGTCATCAGAAAAATAAGTAGTGGAGTAAAGTACTGATACCAGAAACATGTACTTAAGTACAGTAACAAAGTATTTGTACTCCACTACGTCTCAGAGAGTCCTTCTCCTGCAGCTCTCTATAGACAGACATTATGATATAAAGAGATGTCTCAGTACCACGGCCAGCAGGTGTCCTCTGGTCGGCAGCCGGCGGCCCTGAGGGATCTTTGCTCGATCTCTGGTGGGATGAACCAGAGACCCTTCCTCCTCGAGGGTCACCTGAACACACACACACACACACACACACACACACACACACACACACACACACACACACACACACACACACACACACACACACACACACACACACACACACACACACACACACACACACACACACACACACACACACACACACACACCACACACAGAAACTGAGTCTGGCACCCTCTGAAATATAGCAGGTCACATCTGCACACTTATGTAAATATATTTAACATGTTCATTCAAATGCGATATCTTGTTTTCAACAGTTACTTATCACTTTATTTTTGTTGTATTCTATTTTACCTGACCCTGTTGCTGCTATCAAATAAAGTTCCATCTCATCTCATCTGATCTAACAACAGCTCAGACCACATGCTGTACCTGGTCTAAGATGCGGTTCTTGGCCTTGATGATGGCCACGTTCAGAGCGTTGACCCAGGACTCCTTCTCCTCAGGACTCACAGCCAGGAACAGGAGGTTAGGAACCTGGAGAGACACAGAACAGGAGGTTAGGAACCTGGAGAGACACAGAACAGGAGGTTAGGAACCTGCAGAGACACAGAACAGGAGGTTAGGAACCTGCAGAGACACAGAACAGGAGGTTAGGAACCTGCAGAGACACAGAACAGGAGGTTAGGAACCTGGAGAGACACAGAACAGGAGGTTAGGAACCTGCAGAGACACAGAACAGGAGGTTAGGAACCTGCAGAGACACAGAACAGGAGGTTAGGAACCTGCAGAGACACAGAACAGGAGGTTAGGAACCTGCAGAGACACAGAACAGGAGGTTAGGAACCTGCAGAGACACAGAACAGGAGGTTAGGAACCTGCAGAGACACAGAAACAGGAGGTTAGGAACCTGCAGAGACACAGAACAGGAGGTTAGGAACCTGCAGAGACACAGAACAGGAGGTTAGGAACCTGCAGAGACACAGAACAGGAGGTTAGGAACCTGCAGAGACAGAGAACAGGAGGTTAGGAACCTGGAGAGACACAGAACAGGAGGTTAGGAACCTGGAGAGACACAGAACAGGAGGTTAGGAACCTGGAGAGACAC